GATTATATATCTAACACGTAGATTATATTTGGGAATAGACTCCTAACTTATTTTGTTGAAGATTAGTTGGAGTTTGCCCGAAACTATACTTATATTCTCATGTAGCTCCTATTTGGAAAGGATTTGCGTATATAAGCTGTAGTTGAGCAATGTTGAGCATAAGCACAGTCTCGAAAACTATATCCTAACCAAATTATAAATTCAAAATTCCAATTCAAATCCTATTTGGAAAGAGTATCATATTGGGAAATTTCGGATCTTGCCATGATGGACTGCAAGCCCATTCGTCTGTGCTTAAAATCTATTGCAAAAAAAATCAACTCTACAGCCTGCGCGCTGAAATCAAGCAAAACCTAGGCACCAGGAGGCGTAGCATATATATATATATATAATTATAATAATCACAACGACAATCATAAAAACGATCTGCCGAAACTACCCTTGGCCAAACCCACCCTAAATCACACCCGAAACCAAGCTGATACAAAGCCCGAGCCAAACCAGAATCAGCCCAGCCCAACAGGAACCCTGATGCAAACCGAAACCAACCGTAAACCGTAACCCCAAGCAAACCAACTAAGCCAATCTCACGCCAAGCTGAAACCCAGCACAGACCCGAGGACCCGAAGGCCAGTTCCCTTTTTTGTCCGCCTACACCAGCCAAAAGAAGCAATGCGCCAAGCGAGAAACCGAGAAACCAAAAACCAACTCATGACCGCGCATGTCAACCATCCAAACCGCCCCAACCTTCCCAGCGGTCACCGCCCAATCCAAACTCTCCACGCTCGAATTGTCCATTCGGACCATTCGTCGCGACCGCCCCGTGGTTTGGACCGCAAGCTCAGCCAGGTGCGCGGGTTCCTTTGGTGAATGAAATCGGGGCCCCCGACCCGGGCGGGCGTCTGGGGGCCACCCAGCTCGCCCCCAAAGGCCAAGCGCCGCACGCGGAGCAAAACCTCGAGTCGACTTGCGCTCGATTCGCTGAGGGCTCCCAATTTCTCACATGGAGCACCGATGGTTCTCAAAGAACAAACTGGATGGAGCTCGTCCCTAGTTATTTCCGGGGCAACGATTGATAACTTGATTCCCCTGGTTGTGTTCGGCTCGTTGATTCCAAGCGGAGCGAAGCGTTCCGCTTCAAGCAAACTAGGATGGACTCACCTCATTCCCGTTCCTCCCCTCACCAGCAAGCTTCAATCTGCTAGGCAAGCCATTCAAGGGGGAACCATGATTCATACATCAAGGAGGGGCGGCTATGCCGTCTTGAGCCCTTATCCTTGCCTAGGGGATATTAGGTGGTCCCTCTCCAAATGAACAACAGACCAGTAATATTGTGTGTTGCTCGTGCAAGTTTACAACCTGGTGTATATATAGATATGATTACCTACTAATCGTCTGGAGGCACCAGGCAAGCCAGAAAGGATTTCCCTCAAGGGGGTTCAGTTGGTTGGTGTTGTTAGGACGCGGCAATCGCGCGAAAACAAGCATTTCCTGACCTTTGATTGGTCCCAGGTGTTACCAACACAAGGTTGACTGGGTTTATTGCTGTAAACGACGCAAAGGGTATTTGCACGTTTAGACCATGGCAAGGATTTCCGAGATGGCAAGTGAAGAAGAAACAACATTAGTATACGCATGAATCATACGATGGAATATATATATATATGTATGAAGAGTAGTCTGGTTTTTATTAAAACAAAAAATGAGCCCATCTGCAAAACTCCGACTTGCATAGCATCATCGGGTCTACATAACCGCCACATTCACCGTCAAACCTGAACCATCACCCCAACCATCCACATCCAAACCATCCACTCCCCGGGTTTCAGTGGGCCCGGCAAGGCAAGCGAGCCCAACGCAGTTGAAGATGAGGACGCTGAAGCCCAAAGCCCCCGCCTGACATCATCAATCTCTCGAGAGAGAGAAGACTTCGGCTCCTTTTGAAATGGGCTGAAGCGGATCCGGAAAGGACATGGGCGTGTCACCTTTTTTTTGGGGACCCCCCAAAAAGGTGTTTGTGTTCGCCCTTTGGTGTCCCTTTGTAACCAACCAACTAAAGAGAAGCACCCACATCTCAGCGGATTTACAACAATTTGCCACAATCGAAGTTCCAGACTTCCAGACTTTTTAGTCAACTCCGGCATTCCAAACCGGGCCTTCACGATGAACGCGCAGTTCGTGGCACTACTCACAATCTCCGGGAATTCCTCGGCTTCAAAGCGGACTTGAGACAACTTTGCTTCGAAGGCTGAGCGCCATGGTTTCAGCAACCTCCTTTTGGCTTCCTGACCATTCCCTTGAAGGAAGCCATCAGTTGGATTGTTTTTCTCGGGGTCATTCCATTTCTCAGAGCCCATGCATCTCCCACACCAGCAACCAACCAACAAATCAACAAATCAACAAATCAACAAACCAACAAACCAACAAACCAACTTCCAAACCAGCAACCAACCAACAAATCAACAAAGCCACGACCAAAAAAAGCAGCGCAACGCGAGAGCTTTGGCTCCCCGGCGGCTCCGTACCTCGCCGCCCACTCCACCTTATCGCCTGCCTAGCGCCGGGTCTCGCCGAAGATGTGTGGCAAGCTCATTCCAAGGCAGTCTCGGGAATGGTTTTCGGAGGCATGGATGCTTCTATGCCACCAACATAAGCTGAGCAGGTATGTAATATACCACCAACAAAAGCTGGTAAAGCAGGGGAAAAAAAGAACCTTGTACAAGTGGTATATGACCTCCATACCTCGAAAACCCTTCCCTTGACTCATATCCCCCCCTCCCGCCGTTTCTTCCTGAGAAAAAACGCCTCCGTCGGCGCAACGAGGCCCGAGGCCCGCACGCCGCTGGACCAGTAAATCGCCGCAGCCAGCCACGGGATGCCAATGCCCAGGTAGACATTCACCGAGTTGCTGCCCGTCACCTGCCCAAACAAAAAAAAATGGATGGCGAATGATCCAGGGGCTGGTCCCATGAACCCAAATGCACCATAGACTCCAAGTTTGACCCAAGCACGTCACGCGACATCTCTCAGGCCCACGCGTTGACAATCGAAGAGTCCTCGGAATGCCCGGCACGGCTCCGAGCCAATCCTACCCCACGCCTCACCTGAGGGGCAACCCGGTACTCCCGTGGCACTGGAATCTGAAAGGTGAAGGGCTGTGTAAATCAAGAGATTCTCAGATTCGGCATGGGCAAGCTGGATCCAGACCTCGTTGTGAGCCAAAATCTAACCACCAGGATATGAACCGGTTCTAGTCCTTGTCTCCATTCACCAGACCAAGCCATTCGGGGTTTGCCTATTTGTTGACCGGCCCGCACCCAATGAAATCGAGTTTCTGCGGGGTACTGTTCCACCAACTACCATGGAAGTGCAGAGACTCCTGTAGAAAGAATATCTTGGTGGGAGGGCAAGTCAAGCAATTGGCCCTTCCCGCCCGTGGCAAAGGACCAAAACATCTTCGGCAAAGGCGCTGCAGTGTCATCTTTGGCCGCGGAGGTCATGGATGCAAAGGTGTCGGGCCTGGCCAAGAATGGCCATCTGGTCCTTCTTTCTAGATTCGTTCAGAGCAGTTGAGCCAAAGTCAAAACCCCTTGTTCGGGTAAATGGCAAATTATGGCGATCGCTTTGGGAAGGCACCCTATCGCTTTACATGGTCTGAAAAATCATCTGGCACTTTTTCGCACAGAAAACAAACGGAACTCAGATCGACTCTCTACAAAACTTGTCGATCGGGATCTTGAGGCCGCGGCAAGGAAGTCCCCATTGCGACTATAGTGATCGCCGTGGTGGCGTCCGGAATGCCTGCGTCCAAAAGAAGAAACGCCGCAGAACACCTTAAAATGTGGATGGACAAAAACCACTGGTTTCTCGCAGTACTTATCCCGGGTTTATCCATCCCCATCCACATTGCCATGGGAGCAAACCATGCAAAACTTGGGACGGAGAAACGCAAGCACCCCATCTGCGCCTGCACAGCAGCCGAAAAGTGATGCCAAATCACTGATCAGAGCCGTGACAACCTGGCGCAAGATTGATTGTGCAAAAGACTGACCGTGGGGCTCTTGGGTGTCAAACTCGGGAAGGCCTTCTTCCAAAAAGCACACGCGGTTCCCTACACAAATCCCTCCAACTAAATCAAGCCGGCGCTGCAGCCACCCACACCAGCGCCACAGTAAAGAGCAGGTAGCCTCCTGAGTTCAAAGACTCTCAGTGCGAATCTGAATCTGTTTCTTGGGTCCCAGGAGGTTTTGTTTCCGCCGACTCCTGGCTAACCGTTTGGAACGTCAAGAGATCCAGGGCTCGGCGGCCTTAAGGCTCCGGCCGGCCCACTGCGCCGGCGGGCAAACGAGGCCGAAGAACGCCTTGAACGGCAGACCTCACTCCACGTGTGCGAGCAAGACGCGCAGGCGGTGTTGCAGGAAACCAATGCGTGGCTTCCCTTCAAAACAAGCCAAGAAGGGGTAACCTGGACACACACACACACACACAACCATATCCACAAGTCGCATGCTTCATTTCCAAGCACCGGCAAAGAAGCTCACGGTCCAACCTGCAAGCGTCTCAGGAGACGGCCCAAGACGAAGAAGAAGTAGTCGCTCGGTTTCAGCCCTGCTGGCTCCTTGCAGAATGATCACCAAGACCGAAAACACAAGCAAAACAGCAACTGCACAAAGGTATGCTCAAAACCATGTAATGAGATGTGCGTCCCAGAACCGAAGGCCTGTATATTTATCCGTCTGCTCCGCGCGGATATATGGGGAGGGGGGGGGTGTCCGTTCGGGAGCCTTCTTCCAAATAAAGCAATCCTTCTCAACATCGGGCGAGGTCCACATTTGCCCCGTTCATGGGACATTGGCGCCCACCACTCGTCCGGTGGCCATGGGCCACTGGCGGGACCACGCCACAAGCTGGCTCGGGTAGTTCTGACCATGTCGCTTCAAATAACCCAGTAGACCGGAACAACTGAAATCTTTGATACGCCCCAACCCAGATTGCGCATGAATCAGGCATTCAGGCGATACGCCTCATTTCAACATGTCAATTGAACTACGACAAAGAAGCAATTAAATGGGTTTTCATGCTTGTGCACGGATTTTCTTCTATGACCGTACAAGCATGCCTGGCCATGCGTACGAAGCACAAATGCGCCCAGTCCACTTGAACCCCCATTACAGTCACAGCCTCGCAAACAAAAGCTGACTTTAGGAACAGGCACCTCAAAATGTCCAACCAAGTCACTATCTCGCAGGACTAGCTGCGAAATCGGCTGAGGCAAAAACTTGGATACAGTACCAGCTCTGGAACAGCTCGGCTCCAAGTGCAATAGGGTGGATGCCCTCATCTCGCAAGCAAAAGGAGATCCTCTCATATTTTTTACTGGCAAGAGCGGAACCAATGGGGCTTTGTGTTTCCTTTTTCGTAGGGTCGGCTTCCAAAACACTTCAGCGATATGGAGTTGATCCACCTCCGTCGGCTCCCCGAGCCACCCGCCCCTGAGAGGCCCGGAGGATCCCTTCGGCTCCTCTCCCTCCTCCGCCTCCTCGGGCTCCAAGCGCACGGAGGACAGGATCTGCTGCTTCCAGGCCTGGGAAGGCATCCGGAGTTCAAAGGACGCCGAGCCAGCGGCGGAATCGTGGATTTGTTTTTTATTGTTTTATGTTTTTTTTGTTTTTTTTGCGACCCCAAGAAACATGGGGTAAAAGAGGGGTCCTGGTGGTGTCCCAAACCAAAAGGGGTACCAACTAAAAGAAGAAGAGAAAAAACAGACTCATTAGGTCTCGGAATGGTTGGTGTGTGTGTGTGTGTGCCACTGGCTCTGGGAAGCCAGTTGAACCACCATTTTAGCGCGGGCAATGTTGGAGGATGTGAGTTTAATGGTCCCTGTTTCAGTCTGAAGGACAGTGGAAATTGGGCAGTCCAACGCCATTAATAGAACTGTCCCCTATTTAATATGTGGGGGGGTTCCTCACCAAGTGACACCCTCCCGATCAACCAGGGGCTAAGTCATTCGGGGTTGACATGAACAATGTTGAACATGAAACCGGGTCCCAAAACCCCCGGAGGGTTTCTTGGCTCAAGCTTTAAATGGCCCGAAAGGCCACACCGTAGTACATCTGCAGTTGGAGGCAAATCAGCCCTCAGGTCTCAAAGCGGCAAGCGGCAAGAGCGTGGCTCTTGTTTTTCGCATGGTGAAAGCCGGTCCTCGCCCCTGGGATGGGCGAGTCTCCGTAGTGAAACCCAGTGACTGGTGAAACCTGTCGTTTTGACCGGACCTCTCAAACGAGGTGGTCCAAGCTAGCAGACCGTTGCTGCTCAAGCTCCTTTCTGAGGGACCACTCTCGGCGCACCTCGCAGGAGCGGTGGAGCATGAAACAGATCACCGTGCTCATGAACGAGGCCACGATCACGGCGATGCATCTAACCTTCATCCAGAAGTCCTGGCTAAGATCTTTGTCCGGCAGTCGGAGCGACGGCTCCTTCGCCGGCAGCCAGGGGTCCGGGCAGTAGAACTCCAGGGTGTAGTGCGTGCCGGAGGAGCATGTCACCGGCTCGCTGCCCAGGGCCTCGTCGAGGCCCTTGCACTGCTGCTTCACCACGTTTCGGTAGTGAAGGTCCTTCTCGCAACCGTCCTCATCGAAGCCCACCACGTCCCGAAAGTCCAGGGGCCGGTCGAAGAAGGACATGCCCGGCTGGACCTTCAGAGGCTTGCAGCGGCCGTCACAGGCCACGGTCGAGGTATTCACAGCGCCAAGCTCCTTGGCGATGTAGAACTTCATCTGCGCGCTCAGCATGCCCATCACCGTCTTGTGCGGAACAGGGCACTGCGCAAAGGACAGGCTTTGGCAGTCCAGGCCGGTGAACTCCGTGCGGTCCTTCCGGTGGCAAGTTCCTTCCACCTTCAGCCTGAACGGAACGGTGTAACCCACGCTCATGTTCGTAAGGATCTGGTCGCATCCTTCCATCTTGCCCTCCTCTGGGGCACATGGCATGCCTTGCAGCCCGAAGGAGGCTTGCAGGTCACTGTCCACCGGCGGCGCGCACTGGGAGTAGTCCAGCTCCCCGGTCTCCGTCTCGCGGGTGCAGGACTGCCCTGGCCCCCCGCTGCTGCCGATGCCGCACTCCCGTCCGGCCTCGTCGCACTTCATCTTGGCCCAGAAACGCGCGCGGCCCAGGCCATTGGTGGTGGTCATCTCCACCGACTCGCCGGGCCACACTCGGCGGTTTTGAGGGTCCGGGCCGGTAGCGCCACCGGCCTCATGGGCAACCCACAGCGGCTCGGAGCCGCACTTGTTCACGATGCGCAGCCGGTGGTGAGGCTGCAGCAAGGCATCCACGGACTCCACGTCGCCGGCGAAAGGCGAGCCCACCATGCCAGCGAAAATCAGAGCAAACAGCATGACGTCCGGCGACAGGTGGCAAGGACACGAGTTGCACAAGGCTTAGGCTTGAGCTTAAGTGTGGAGCAAAGCACACATGATTTAAACACCTACTATACCCTTCAAAGATTCCATCCACTTGCTCGGATTTCGGACCATCTGCCATCAACACAAAGCACTATATTTTCCGGAAAAGCCCGAGAACCCAAGCGAGCTCACTTCATTGACTTTTTGCCTAGAGATGCCACTGATATGAGAATATCAAAAGGTGCACAGCATCAGCAAATATCAGGGTTACTTCCTAAATCCCAAGAAGCTGCTCTGACACCTCAGGATCATTGTCGGTCATTGATTCCAGGCCGGGAAAACTTATGGATCTTCAGAGAAACCAAAGGAAAGCTCCACTGTTTGGGAGTGAGTCCCTCTACTTTGACGCATAAACCATATGACTTGCCCTCGCGGTTGGCCAAATTCGTTTGAGCCTTTGTGTATTCGGCATCCTACTCTTCCCTCTTGACAAAAGCAGGCCTTTCTGAACGTCTGCTCTGGATCAACTGTGCCCCGCCTGCAATCCGCACTGGAAGTTGTCTTTGTCGAATAACCTGGCGCTGGCATACTGAATGCACTAACTCCTTGGCCGTCACTTACACCAAGTCCAGGCCTCTCCATCAAGGGCGGATTCTCGGAGTTCTTGATGGTGATGGTCAAGAGACCGATCCTTGGCAAACACATGTTGCTTCCTTTCAAAACAACATGCATCCCAAAAAACAAAGGACAATTCTCCCCAAACAGGACAATTCCCTTGCAAAATGAGGGTGCTGGAGGTGCATGTGGCTGTAAATGCTATTGGGGCCACTCTGCTGGATATACAAAATTGGCTCGGAGGTCTCTAGCCAAAAAGGCCTCGGGTCCCGGCCCCCTGCCGCCATCATCGTTCGGGTTGAAGAAGGCGTCGCCTTCCGCCTGACGTCGCTTTGGGGGAAACCAGTTTCAGCCCATGAGTCGCAAAGAAATTGAGGGGGGGTGTTAAAATAGTAAATGTGATAAAAGCGTAAAGTTTGTACGACTGAACCGCAAAACAGGCGGCCCAGGTGTCCCCTTTAAACCGCGGCTAAAGGAGCCATAAAAACGCACACGATGAGCCTCGCAGTGTATATCCGCCGGCCCCCCTGCCTGCAAGGGGTTCGTTTAGCGTTGGAGCGTGACTGTGGCGGCCTTCTCCCTTCCCTTTCGCCCTCGCCCGTTCAGCCCTGTACCTTACCAGCCTTCTTTCCCTTTTTTCTTGTTCTTCTTCGTTTCTTTTCTTTCCTTTTCCTTTCTGCTGCCGGCGCACTCCTTTGGTTGGTGCTCGCTGTGGACAAACGAGTGCGGCCTGGAAAAGCGCGGGAAGCGAAGCTTTTGTGGCTGGCCGCTCCCTCTGGACCGATAGCCTTACTGCATGCGGAGCAGGCTGCCGGCGCACTCCTTTGGTTCGTGCTCGCTGCGGCGAAGCGAGTGCGGCCTCCAAGCGCGCTGGACGCGAAGCTGTTCTTGCTGGTTGCGGTCTGGGGACCGATAGCTTTCTACTTTCAAAATAGGATTCAAAAGTGACGTTCGGCACCCGGCCGCGGCGGGGCAGCCGCCCTTGGCAAGACGCACAGCAAACCCAAAGGGAGAAAGACCAAAAATAGGCAAACTGTGACAGACGCAGGCGCACATGGGCAAGGACAGGCCGGGGATTGAACCCAGCCCCTCTCGCATGCTGAGCGGGTGTCATGCCACTACACCAACTGCCCCTGAGCTGAGGAGGCCGAGAGTGCTCAACTACCTGCTGGGCACAGCTTTCAGCGCCAAAGCTCAGCCCGTTCGGCCTGTTTTCTTCCTATCTGCTGCCGGCGCACCCACTCCTTTGGTTGGTGCTCGCTGTGGGCAAACGAGCGCGGCCTGGAAAAGCGCTCAAGCACCTGCAGGGCACAGTTTTCAGCGCTGAAGCTCTGTCACGGCCCGCCCGTCCGGCCTTTTTTCTTCCTTTCTGCTGCCGGCGCACTCCTTTGGTTGGTGCTCGCTGTGGGCAAACGAGTGCGGGCCCGCCCGTTTGGCCTCTTTTCTTCCTTTCTGCTGCCGGCGCACTCCTTTGGTTTCTTTCCTTTTCCTTTGCTGCCGGCGCACTCCTTTGGTTCGTGCTCGCTGCGGCGAGGCGAGTGCGGCCTCCAAGCGCGCTGGACGCGAAGCTGTTCTTGCTGGTTGCGCCCTGGGGACCGATAGCTTTCTACTTTCTATATAGGATACCCAAAGGGAGAAAGACCAGGGATAGGCAAACTGTCACAGACGCAGGCGCACATGGGCATGGACAGGCCGGGGATTGAACCCGGCCCCTCTCGCATGCGAGCGGGTGTGATACCACTACACCAACTGCCCCTGAGCTGAGGAGGCCGAGAGTGCTCAACTACCTGCTGGGCACAGCTTTCAGCGCTGAAGCTCTGTCACGGCCAGCCCGTTCGGCCTGTTTTCTTCCTATCTGCTGCCGGCACACTCCTTTGGTTGGTGCTCGCTGTGTGGGCTCAAGCACCTGCAGGGCACAGTTTTCAGCGCTGAAGCTCTGTCACGGCCCGCCCGTCCGGCCTTTTTTCTTCCTTTCTGCTGCCGGCGCACTCCTTTGGTTGGTGCTCGCTGTGGGCAAACGAGTGCGGGCCCGCCCGTTCGGCCTCTTTTCTTCCTTTCTGCTGCCGGCGCACTCCTTTGGTTTCTTTCCTTTTCCTTTCTGCTGCCGGCGCACTCCTTTGGTTGGTGCTCGCTGTGGACAAACGAGTGCGGCCTGGAAAAGCGCGGGAAGCGAAGCTTTTGTGGCTGGCCGCTCCCTCTGGACCGATAGCCTTACTGCATATTGGACTCAAACGCAACGTTAGGCACCCGGCCGCGGCGGAGCAGGCTGCCGGCGCACTCCTTTGGTTCGTGCTCGCTGCGGCGAAGCGAGTTCGGCCTCCAAGCGCGCTGGACGCGAAGCTGTTCTTGCTGGTTGCGCCCTGGGGACCGATAGCTTTCTACTTTCTATATAGGATTCAAAAGTGACGTTCGGCACCCGGCCGCGGCGGAGCAGCCGCCCTTGGCAAGACGCACAGCAAACCCAAAGGGAGAAAGACCAGGGATAGGCAAACTGTGACAGACGCAGGCGCACATGGGCATGGACAGGCCGGGGATTGAACCCGGCCCCTCGCATGCTGAGCGGGTGTGATGCCACTACACCAACTGCCCCTGAGCTGAGGAGGCCGAGGGCGCTCAACTACCTGCTGGGCACAGCTTTCAGCGCTGAAGCTCTGTCACGGCCAGCCCGTTCGGCCTGGAAAAGCGCTGAAGCACCTGCAGGGCACGGTTTTCAGCGCTGAAGCTCTGTCACGGCCCGCCCGTCCGGCCTTTCCTTTTTTCTTCCTTTCTGCTGCCGGCGCACTCCTTTGGTTGGTGCTCGCTGTGCGCAAACGAGTGCGGGCCCGCCCGTTCGGCCTCTTTTCTTCCTTTCTGCTGCCGGCGCACTCCTTTGGTTGGTGCTCGCTGTGGACAAACGAGTGCGGCCTAAAAAAGCGCGGCATATTGGACTCAAACGTGACGTTAGGCACCCGGCCGCGGCGGAGCAGGCTGCCGGCGCACTCCTTTGGTTCGCGCTGGCTGCGGCGAAGCGAGTGCGGCCTCCCAGCGCGCTGGACGCGAAGCTGTTCTTGCTGGTTGCGCCCTGCGGACCGATAGCTTTCTACTTTCCATATAGGATTCAAAAGTGACGTTCGGCACCCGGCCGCGGCGGAGCAGCCGCCCTTGGCAAGACGCACAGCAAACCCAAAGGGAGAAAGACCAGGGATAGGCAAACGGTGACAGACGCAGGCGCACATGGGCATGGACAGGCCGGGGATTGAACCCGGCCCCTCTCGCATGCGAGCGGGTGTGATACCACTACACCAACTGCCCCTGAGCTGAGGAGGCCGAGAGTGCTCAACTACCTGCTGGGCACAGCTTTCCGCGCTGAAGCTCTGTCACGGCCCGCCCGTTCGGCCTTTTTTCTTCCTATCTGCTGCCGGCGCACTCCTTTGGTTGGCGCTTGCTGCGGGCAAACGAGTGCGGCCTGGAAAAGCGCTCCAGCACCTGCAGGGCACAGTTTTCAGCGCTGAAGCCCGCCCGTCCGGCCTTTTCTTCCTTTCTGCTGCCGGCGCACTCCTTTGGTTGGTGCTCACTGTGGGCAAACGAGCGCGGGCCCGCCCGTTTGGCCTCTTTTCTTCCTTTCTGCTGCCGGCGCACTCCTTTGGTTGGTGCTCGCTGTGGACAAAACGAGTGCGGCCTGGAACAGCGCGGGAAGCAAAGCTTTTGTAGCTGGCCGCTCTCTCTGGACACATAGTTTTACTGCATGTACGATCCCTTCCCATCTTTCTTTCCGTTTCCTTTCGCTGCCGGCGCACTCCTTTGCCTGGCGCTCGCTGTGGCAAAACGAGCGCGGCCTCTTAGCGCGCGGTACGCGAAGCTGTTCTTGCGAGCAGGCATGCAGGACCGATGCGCAAGATTTTTGCGCTGCGCTGCCAGATTTCCGCACGCGTCATTTCGTGCGCCAGTCCTTGGTCTGGCAAAAGCGTTTGCTGTTTGGCTCTTCGTGCTGGACCCGGATCCGGCCTTGCCTCGTGCTCGACTGCACTGTCGCTCCGCAGGTCGGACACGCATGCTCGTACCTCGCGCCATCTTCTCAGCGCACAACCTGTCCCTCGCGAGCTTGGAAGCGGCGCCCGCAATGCCGTCGCGAGTTAACCGTGCCGCTCCAGACGCCTGACTCCACGTCGGCGCCGCAGTGCGGGCAAGTGTACGTTCGCTGCGAGCGCTCTGCCTTCTTTTCGGCCTCCTTTCCTCGGTCGCGTGGCTCCGACGCCTGCACCGCTGCGCTGCGCCTTTCCCACACGCGAATAATGTCTGCGATGCATGCGCGGATCTCGGCCAGCGCCCGGCGCTTCTGGGCTGCGCGTCTGCGCGCTAATCGCGCGGCGCTCTTCTTGGCGATCGCTTTTGTGTCACGTGCTCGGAGGCAGGCATTGCACTGTTGCTTCCCGTTCCGCGCCCTCTTGTACCGCGAGAACGCGGCAACTGCGCATCTCTCCTTGCACTGCACGCATGTCCAATGGCCTCGTTCGTTTGCGCTGCAGTCCTTGCACACTTGACGCGCCTTGCGCCGTGTTTGCCACGCCGCCTCTCTGTTTTCGACTCTCCGCAACGCGCGCACGCATGGGTTTCGATGGAACTCGAGGAACCCTGCCCGAGGCTGCCAGTAGTAGCAAACGCAGCATTGCCACGGGTGGCCTGCGCTTTCGTGCCGCCCGGTGCATTCTTTACACACTCCTCTCGTTTCCATCGCCCCGCAGTGTACGCGCAAGGACCCTTCCGCTGCAGGCATTCGACGCACTCTTTCTCGATGAGGTACTTTTTTCGAATGGCTTCCCAATCGATGACCTCCCCCCTCCAAACTCGCAAAAGCAGGTTACGGCCGAAATCGTCTCCGCGTTGAAACGGCTCCAAGTCGAACGGGCGAAATATCCCCAGCTTCTGTCTCCCTTCAACCCGCGCCATGGCCACGTACGATGTCAACGGGTTGTCTCCCTTCTTCATGGCTATGTCCACGACTGCGCCGTTGACTGCTGTTATCCCTTGCGCCCCGCGCGCTGTCAACGCCAACGCCGGGCTCAGGGGCAGCTGTCGGCGAGACACGCGAAGCTGTGGTTTCTTGCGTTTCCCATCGAGGAACCACGCACTTCGAACTGGCGCAACGGGCAGGACGCAGTCTTCTTGTATGCCATCGACGCGCCATGTCTTGCTCGTGCGGAACTTCACGTACACGGCCGCTGGCATTTCCGCCCAATAACGCACACGCCCGTCCGCACGCGTCACCTCGCTTTTGTCGCCCGCGTGCGTCCAGCCACACACAGTCCCCGCGCAGCCGCGAAGCACGCGTCGTTCGCGGTCCAAGTGGTCAGTCGCTGATACCGGCATGCCAATGCATAGCGGCAGCGTCCCGTACAAGTTGCCGCTTTCGCGGTCATGACGCTGCAGCCACTTCACTTTGTCTTCCTCCAAGTGTGGCTTCTCTGCGAGCACTGCTGCCGACGCTAGATCTTCAGCAATTGAATAATATATCTGCTGCCGAGCTTTGGCCGCAAACTCTCGCGCGCGCGTCCGGTTAACATGATACTTGACAGCGTTCGTCGCAAAAATGCACGTGGCATCTTTCAGTTCGTTCTGTAATCGCGGATCCTGCGGCGTGGCTGCTACGACCACACCTTGCACTCCTCTTCCAGGATGCGCTCCGGCGCCACCTGGTCTGCTGCTAGAGCTTCACACGTCCGACTTCCACAGCTCGCGTGGCCATTGTGCCAACTGCCTGGCACTGCCGTCGCTTTGCCATGCAAGAACGCATGTGTGACCGCAGTGAGGCGACCGTGACGAAACTGATCCTGGACTTCCTTTAGCCACGCATCTTGCGTGCGCTCGCAGCGCACCAATTCTGTAACTCCCTGAACGCCTTCCGTCCCCCCCACACAAGCCTCTGCCCGTACGCGGCGTGCGGCAGCTTGGTTTTCTGCCCACGTCTGCGCAGCATCTCCGCTGGAATGGCTCCCAGGAATGTACCACGCGGAGGCTCTAGCTGCCACATATCCCCCGCTAAAATTACGTTCAGGCCACCGAACGGTCGCGCAGCATTGCTATTGGGGCCGTACTTTTCTTTGCAGGCATCCCGCACCAGCTCTTGACAACGAAGCTCTAAGCGCGCGAGGAGCTGCAAGCTTACGCCCGTCTCCTCGCCGTGCTTATTCAAGCCAACTGCATGGTGAATCGTTTCCCCCGCTAGTTGGTCGGCCATCACCAGCCCCTTGCTGCCACCCCAGGACCTGGTCGAACAACTCTTCTCGAACTACTCGTAGTGTGTGCGACTTGCCGGTGCCTGGGCCTCCATGCAGTGCCCAGCGCAGCGAATCTGTTTTGTCCACTTGGCGCAACTGTTCTCCTTCTCCGCAATTTTCTTCCGCTACGACGCGCTCCGCCACCTTCTGCGCGAAGCTGAGCTGCTCTGGGTTCAGGAACGCCCTGCCGTCCACGCCACGTCGTGTCGCTACATTTTGCAGCCACGCTTTGACTGCCTCGGCTTTATTGGCTCCTTCATGCTGCAGCACTCCTGGAGGACTTGCGCTTTCTTCTTCCGTGTAGGCAAAGCAGCGCTTCGGCTTCTTTCGCCGCGCGGCTTGCAGTAGAGCTTTCGCGCTGCAGCGCTCGTATGGGTTGGCGTCCTGCTCTGCTGCGGGCAGTGCGCTTGCCCATATCGCGTTAGCTTGGCTCAACGCTGCTTGCGTCAGATCCTCCTGCGCTTCTCCCTGCTTCTTCGCAGGCGGCGGGTCCTCTGGCGCCGGGGGCTCTAGCGCTTTCCGAAGTGACGCTTCATTCAGTTTCAGAACAGTGTCTGCGTTCTCATCATCGCTGTTCGCCGCTGCTTCGTCGCTAGGCCGCACTCGATGCACGGCCAAGAAGTTGCCCACGTGCTGTCGCGTTTCCGAGCAACTCAAGCGTAGCAGCCAGGCACGAAGGCAAGAGCTGTTCGCAATTCGAAGCGCGCTTGCGCGCACCACTTCGGGCGAGCCCTACTTTTTATGCAAAGTCCACGGCCGCGCCATGTCGCGGCCGCGGCGCAACGTCGAAGCGCGGACATAGCGGATGCTCCCGTCGGTGATAGTATGTCGAAGGGCGCTCGCTGCTGCGGTGTCTGGCAAATACACGCAGTTTTTCCGCGAGACAAATTGACAGGCGTACTCTGCCCCTGGCTTCAAGCGCACCACCTTCCCTCTGCTGTTTCTCAACTTCGTTTCTCCGGCATCGGTCAGCTTGACGTCCCATGTCTGCTCTGGCAGCGACTCCCATTCGTCCCACGTGTGGGGCACGCGGGTCGCCACCATCTCCCACTGCATGACGAACTGATATGGAGACAGGTGCCACAGCTCCGACTGCACGCAACGCAGCCCGTATGCTTGCGCAATGTCTAGGTCCCTCAAGTGCGACTGTCGCTTCCCAGTGGAGGGGTCGGCGGCACTGGGCGGCAGCCCTTAAATTATGTGTATAGCAATATATATATATATATATATATACATATATATATATATACATATATATATAATTATATATATATATGTATATATATATTATGTGTATATTGTGGATATGTTTATTTCTTTGCCGGACTCCAGAAACGACCCCCAGCGCGCCCCCAGCCCCCCCCCCACCCCCCATCCCCCATCCCCCGTGAACCTCGGAGAGCACCAGCTGGAAGACGTCGTGGGGCTCGGAATCCCGCTGCGGAAGGATCGAGACCTCCACCTGTGGGCCAAAAATATGTACCCAAAACAGAACCCTGGTAAAGGAAACTTGCACTGCAACCTGCGGTTTTCTGGTGGTTGAATTTTGACTGTGGGGATGTTTTGGTGGACCTCAGAATTTGGTGGGGAGTTATGTCCGCAAGACCCTTCTGCAGGTGGTTCCCCATGGAAAAACTCGTAGCCACTTCTTTGGCTTCACCGAGGGATCGCCTTCCCACGGAGCGGTCGAGACGTCGAGACCGGTTCCAACAAAACCAGGGCAGGTGGTGGACGTTTTCGATGCTCCGACAAAAGCTGGTCGGCGTCCCTAGGAAATTACCAGAAGAGGTGCTTGTCTGTCCACAGGTCTTCGAAATGAAGTGATGAGATGCGAAGTGGAAAGTAAACAGAGTCGTCTTTCCTCTATGTTGAGACAAACCCATAAACAAAGAAATGAAATGGAAGAAATGGCATTGTCTGTTAAAGCATCATAAACGAGAGCGCTATTGGGTTCGTCTCAAAATAAGGGCATTCAAGGGTCGGATTGCTTTGGGGCATTCCTCTTCAAAGGCAAAATTTGGATACCTTCCAACCACCAATTGGTATCTCTCCGGCAATAGTTCGCAATCTCACCAGAAGCCTGGCTATAACTGCTTGGATCCTTCTGTGGACATCATTTACATGGGTGGCATTCACCAAATATGGGTGTGGATCCTTCCTGTTGAGGCTTTGTTTTTGCGGCTGCTCAGGGCGACCAAAGCTCGCCGAGCCCCGAAATGTCAGACGTGGTTCGTGCCAAGAACCAGCCTGTTTCTCGGTCTCTCCGTCCTCAAAAACGATCGTCTCGTCAATCTGGCCAGCTCATCTCAACACGCCAAAAACATCAGTGAATTCAGCCAGCAGATCCCTCTTTGGGCACCCACCTCGAAAACACTATCCCCATGGGAAAAACCGGTGTACCCTTTATATAGCCGCACATCAAATGGACCTCTGGGCGCTCGAATAAAACAAATCCCAGCGGTGCCTCCTCAAAGTCTATGCCTCGCGCACAACGGGGCAGTGGATCGCCCGGCAGCCGAAACAAAAATCGCAACAGGGCGCCTGGAACAGCAGAGAGACCTTCCGTTGAGAGCTTGCACGACACCTGGCCGTCGGTGCCATTGCAACCTCGGCAACACGGGACAGTGATCCATCAAATTAATCTATCCTACCCTCTTTCCTTCCCGGGAGTGGGCACCCTAAGAGTGAAGTAGAACCATCCGATCAGCTTCCATGACTCTTGGAGAAGGGGGTAAGAAAGCAGCTCCAGAACACCTACAGAAACATTTGCCGTGGCTTGCTGAGATTCCTGCGAAGGATGTCCAACGTGAATTTGTAGGGATTGTAGGGCTCGTTGTCCGGGCGCAAACGATCTTCAGGCTCGATCTGCGGATGCAACGGGAATCACCCGTGAGCTGGATTTGAGTCCTGTCCCCATAGACTCTGCGAAAACCCATCAGAAAAGGCCAAAGCTGGCCTGAATGGCGTCGCTGCGGAAGGTGATGATACCTGGGTTTCACCGAGGTAGGCATCAAAAATGCACGCGCGGACCAGTAGATGAGCGGACCATGGGGGGCGTGGATGCGCCCTTTGTGGATGGGATCCTGGATGTCCTTGCCGTTGCTTCCAGCAGGGATGGCCTGCAAGAGGTGCAAGCTGAGCATGCAACAAATGCCAAGCTTGGAGCGTCCAAGTCGACTCACGCCCGCCCCCCCCCCCCCAGAAGCACAACCAGCACAGTTCCAGCCTTGTCCTCTTCGTGAGCGTCTCGCTTGGCCTGCCGCGGCTGCCAAGCTTTCTCCCTCCCTCTCTGTTGCTTTCCCGCGTCATCCGTGTGCCTCTGGAGTGACGTGCGACTTTCGGCCCGCAGTCAGGACCGCCTTCCAGGCACGGTCTGAAAAGGCAGTTCCCTCGCCCTGCTTGATCGTGCAGTCTCGGCCAAAACAAATTAGGACACACCCAAACGACCAGGTCTTGCCGATCGGGCTTGGCATGCCTGAGGGAGAACCTGCAACCTGTCACTTCACTCAACGTACCAACCGCCCGTACTATCTTAGATTAATTACCGCAAGATTACACCCAAGTACACTGGCCAGTCCTTCCAAATCACACAATCATAGCAAGTTCGCCTCACCGCGGTTTCAGCATGCTCCGTGCCCATACATGGCGAGCGATTGATTGCGCGTGCTATTGTTCGCACATCAAATCCAATAGTTCAATCGGTTCAATTCAACATAATGCCGTACTCCAACATCTCAGCAACGACGACGACGACCATGACGACGATGACTACGACGACGACGATGACCCCAACGACGACAGCAACAACAACACGACCACGACCACGACCACGACCACGACCACGACAACAACAAACACAATAGGGTTGAATTCCTGCCCCAACCAACGCCGGAGTATCACGGCAGCTAGGCTTCCCGCCATGGACGCCCTCATCTTGTTGCCCCCGAGCCGAGGATGATTGCCTGGCTTGTCTTCCATCCAACGGAAAGCGCAAAAAGCCCGATACCTAGCAAAAAGCAGCTTCATCCAAACGATTTGGCACAACCGCAACTATGAGAATGAATGGATAAGAGCACCACCTTGCTGAGAACTGCTTACTGGATGATCTCAAGGTATCTCTCTCTCTGTCCCGGTCTCTCGGTCTCTCGGTCTCTCTCTCTCTCTCTCTCTGACGGCCGGAGATACACGTCTCTAAGACCGCTGCTTTTCTCCGCGGCGTTGCCCATCGAATCATCCTGGGAGGACCGCCGCATCCGGGGTTCCTCGCAAGCCATGTGGCCGGCATGGGCGAAGCCCCTGGCTCCCTGTTCCCTCTAAAGGAGGCCAAAGTCTGGTTGCTACATATCTTGTAGCCCAAAGTCTGGTTAGGTATCTTGCCTCCCAGACCTCTCCTTCCCGGTCACAGGCTCCATGGCTAGGAACGGATCACCAAGTTCTCTCTCGTCTCTGGGGCAAGGGCCACTTCCTCTTCAGGCCTCAAAGGCTCGGACGGCTTGTGAACCCCGAGCTTCCGAAGGGAACCTTCCGGAGCTCCCGAAGGGAACCTTCAACCAGCTCCTGGCTTCCCCGGGAAAAACAAACGAAAACCTCCCGAGAAATGTGGCCCGAACGTCCACCCAAGGAAGCTCCTTGTGAAAAAAGCCCAAAAGCTGATGCAAGCCACTCAAAACGGAAACTTTGAGAAGCCTCTACAGTTGGCGGGTGTTTCACACACAAAAAACAAGAAGCGCAAATACATATATATATATATATATAAGCTTCGCGCCTCTTCTCGAGCGCCAGGAACTCCAGCTTGCCCTTGTTCGCCAGCCACGACACCGTCACCAGGATCGGGAACATCACAAAGGTGACCATGGCCTGCAGGCCACGGCGCTGGACTTCTTTTGAGCGGAGTGCCTCTCCGACTGGATGGCTCGTGGCACGCCGAGAAGAAATCATCCAAAAGGGGCTTCACGAACCGTCCAAAAGGACAGCCCCTTTTTGGCCGTGTTCTGGACCGATGCCGAATCAGAGATGTGTTCCAATGAAACTGCCTTCGGAGCTCAAGTGGCTGTGAGACAAGCTGCACAAAACTCGCAAACGGCTGCCGCACAGTTCGGCACCAGTCCAAGCGAATCATGTGGGCATTCTCGTCTTGTACCCTCCCCGACAAAAAAGGGTGGGTTGTCCTATTGCTTTCCTTCCCTCACAAAAGAGGGGGCACCCTCAACAAAAGACACACCCATGTTTCCTCTGACCGTTTTGTTTTCACGTTGCCATCGCCTCCCAGATCTCCACGATGTTGGGTGAAATAACTTGCACCTGCGGATTTCCACTTGAATGTGTCTTGTTTCTGCAGTTTTGTGTGAAGTAAAGAGAAACCAAAATGAAAACCGGAAAAATATTGAGGGATCCAAAAAAAAACAAAAAAGAGATTTGGATCTCCTCGAGCCCGCAGCCGGACATCAGGCGGAGGCCACTTTTGAGGTTGGCACGATGACCAGCAGCCAGATGTACGCGAAAATCCTGAGATCTGTTAATGTTGACCCCGCATGAATAAAACGACCTGCTTATCACTAGGCAAATGTCCATTTCTTTGTTAAAATGTGGAGATTCAGACCACTTTTGGAGGGAAACACCCCCATACTAGGGTTCTTCTACAAACTTATAAAGGTTCGTGTGTTACGTTTGGGGTGTAATGTTGACTCAGAATCATCAAACCCAGTTTCTTTTCTGATAGACCCCTTTGCTGGGGCTCCATGGATTCTTTTTGTGGCGGAGCGAGCATGCAAAAAATCAACCGTGGCAGCTTCTCGCTTGGGCAACGGCGAGAAAATGACCGTCACGTGGTACACTGACCTCAGTCTGAATGGCCATTTGGGACCCCAAAGACGGCTGATTTCCCAGAATTAAGCCATAAGCCATAAGTAGCAGTTAAATAGGCCATAAACTAGGGCTTCATACCAGTCCTTCTTCTGGGACAGCCTTTCACGCACCGAATGGTCGGATCTGGGGGCTCCCCAACCTCTCCAACTGCCCCCTGTGAATGCTTGCTCCAATGGATCCATTACTCTAGGGGTTGCTTCCTTTTCCATCCTTTTCAACCATCGTTCTTTTCAAAAGCCAGCTGTTTCCCCACGATTTTTGGTGGTTTTCTAGAAAGAAAGATTTTCTGGAAAGAATGGAAATGGAAGCCACCCTTAGAAGACGTCAACAAACATCCGCGGCTGAGAGCCGCGCATGTGCTCGATGGCGCGCACTTCGCAGGCTGGGATGGCGCAAATGCAGACCTGGGCAGCCAGTCAACCAGCTCCACGCGGTGGTCGTTCCAACAGCCGCCAAGGCCACTGAGATACTGTGGATGGACGAAATCCATAAACCGCTTCACTTGGAAAACATTGTTCATTAACAGTCCTAGGTTTCTTAGGTGGTGCAAAATTTCGTCCATCCACAGTACCAGACTACAATTTCTGCGTGGGCGGTTTTATGCCATCTTTCGCTCCCTTGCATCCACTCACCTCGTTCATCTCTCCAAACTGGTAATGCCCCCATTTGCACCTTGTATTTGCACCTTGTCTAGCCGAAAACCGAAAACACACATTCATGCTACTTGGTGTGCCCCCATTTGAACCTTCCACGAAAAACCAAAAAAATGGAAGGAGGGGGAAAAAAGGGCGAGAAAACGAGAAAAAGAAGAATAGAAAAAACGGAAGACAGAAAAAAAAGGAAGGAAGAACAAAGACGGCGCGCCCTTCCCGCGTCCCTTCGCGACACCGGCGGACCATGGGACCGCTTCCCGCTGTCGCTTTCGCGGAGGCTTTGGCTCCCCGGGCGCCCGGGCCGCCAGGATGATCAGCAAATTGAAGGCTGCGGAGCCCACCTCGGCCGGAAACGAAGCCTCCTGAATCCCAATGCAGACATTATCAAAAAGTGCGGTTGCACTTGGTGCCGCATTGAACATGGAGGTGTTGAGCTCTTGTTCTCTTGGCTGGAAAAAGACCTATGGAAAGGTTATCACCTTGGGCATACAGCCACTTGAAGTCGAAACCCCCCAAAAGGGTACCCTGAAACAAGGACAGACTCAATCATAGTCATGGAAACTGCCTTTGTGGGGAAAGGCGGGGGGGAATGCAACCCGGGACGACTTGCACACATGGTCGTCTGATGGGAAACGCGTGTTGTCAGGCCCAGTGTCACTTCGCCTCTGGGAACACTCGGAATGATTGGTTCCAACTACCAAACAGACCGCGGCCCGAGCTACACGTCCACATGTTTCTTGTCGGGACACGTCCTTGCCCCTCGGACGCGTATGGCGCTTTCTAGGCCTCAAAATCGCCCTCCAAAACTCCTGAAGTCCATCCGAAAAACTGCGTGAGCCCATGGCCAGCTCGGGTGATTCCTCTTTTTCGGGCCCCCGGGCGATGGTGGAGGGCCCCAGCTCTCCGCTGTGGAACCCCGCGGAGCAGATCTCCAGCACCGACCTACAGGAGTTCCCTGCAAATCAGATGGCCAAAACCAAAACCCAGTTGATGTCCTGTTGTGAGGTTCCGGCTTAAAAGGTTGTCCCAAAATGCGAACCCCCCAAAAAAAACCAAAAGAAAGATTTCATGGATGCCCTCAAACATGGACACACCCTTATTGGTGGGTGTTGATTGATGGGTGTTTTTTTCAAGGGAAGCCTAGAGAGAAGCGAACCATTGTCCTCTGTTTTGAGACATGCCCACACGTCGCATTCATCTCCGGGGGGTTTGGGGTTGAAGTCACATCAAAATGGGCCGGAGCATAACGGCAGTTGACATGGCGTCAAACGTGAATTTGACAAACCCCCTGAAATGTTCACTGGGCGCTCCCCCCCTACAAATCAAGATAGAACCGAAGAAGAAAAAACATCTCCAAAGGTCTTCGGGCTATTGGGTGGTCATCTGAGGCTTCATCGCCGCAAGAGGTCGCGAAGGCCAAGCTCGCGGCAGCAGAATCTCTGGAGCGGAGGAGCCTCGGAGTTGGGGTGGCTGTGTCAAAGCTCGGTTGCTTTCTGCTCCCCTGCTAAAAGCCTAACTTGTAGTGGTTTCATACGGAACACCCATTAGTTGGCAAAAAGCTCAAAACCCTAACATCCCTTGGCAAAATGCACCAGAGAAAATAGGTCCACAAAAGAAGACTGGGGGGTTCCTCTCTTTGGTTTCCCCTTAAAGCTAGCCCTTTCAAAAGGGGACTGTACCGAGACCCTCACAAATACGACTGAACATGAGCCTGTCCATTCTCAGGGAACCCCCCTCTTGGTGGGGTTTGCTGGAAAACCACATGGAAACCCCACGAATTTGGGGGTGGGGGGGTATCCACATGGGTGTGTCTCCAAATAGGGCGACCGCAACAACAACAAAAAAAACGATCTCAGCTTTCCTTTTCATTCATGGCCAGCCGCCAGCTCCGAGCGCCCAGCCAAGTGCCAACAAGGTGAGGTCGGCCACGGTGCTGTTCCAGACCTAAGATATTTTTTCAGCGAAAACGGAAGGCAAAGCGATGCCTTCGCGTTTTGGATTGGTTTTTCGAGCACCTGGTCTGCTGTTTGTTTGCTTTTTTTCTTGTTTTTTTTCCCCGGAAAACCTGGAAGAGTCCCCTCCCAAAATACTAAGCCACCTGAGCGTCCAAGGCCGTGGCCAAGTACGTGACCTCTTTCTGCTTCGTCTGATTTAAAATCCGCCTGCGCAGAACTCTCGGGCGGACTCTTGGGATGCAGGGGAACACACAAGGCAAACAACCAACCCACCCCACAAGTCATCCCCCAACAGCCAGGCTTGACCAAGCACATGAAATCCTCGGCTGGCCATGCCGCTGCCTCTTCTTGCTGATGATCTTCTCGACGGCCTGCGCTTAGCGGGAAAATCGCACGCTTTTTGAACGGAAATCGGGGCTCAAAGGAAGCTCACTTGAAATCGGCCTTTCCGACAAAGGTTCAAAGGCCTTGGTCCTATCTTGGAAACTAGAGATATGCCGCTCCCCCACCCCTGCAAATCAATCGGGGAAGCTTCAGGAGTCACTGAGGGCCAAGCATTCATGAAGCAATCCGCGACGGTCCCAACACCCATAAACATGTACAGCAGCAAGAGGATGTAAATGACGGCGCCTGGCCACAAGAAAACAACAGGAAGACACGCGCTAGAATCCGTAGCATGAAGTTCACCATGCCTCCTGTCACGAAATCTCTGCCGCTAAGGTTTGGACGCGCTCCATCCGCCATTTCCTTCTCCGCTTGTGTCAATGGGAGCCTGGCGTTCGGGATGCAACCGCAAGTTGTAGGGATATCGTCTGCCCGCTTGGTGTTTGGAGCTGCACGAAAGAACATGTACCTCCTTTTAAGCTTCCACTGCTTTAACGGGCCCAGTCTGTTCGAATCTGAAATGCCAATTGCGCGGGCACGGCAGCAGCCCGGAGCCCTCTGGATCGCAGATCCTCCTCAGCTTCTTTTTTGGGCTCCATGTCAATTTGCGTGGGAGTGCTTCACTCACCGCACTCAACAAAAAGAACTGGGAACAATAGGAGCCGGGCACAGAAGAAGCCATGCCAGCAGCTTCTTTCTCCAGCGAGAAGGGGTTCGCGAAAGCGCGTGCTCGCGAAAGCTTTGAGAAAGGCCTGAAAGCTCTTCCGCCCAATTTGTAAGAAGACTTTATCTCTCCCGTTTGGCGATGGCGCGGATCAAGGCTGGCTGGTTGCTTCTCACTACCCACTACATCGAGGCCGTCATCGGCTGCGGCACTTGAACGATGCCCAACGTGGGAAGCTCAGGACTCCAAATGCAGAGCGCAAGGACCCCAAGGCAGAGGTGGCCGGCCACCGGCTGCAAACCGAATGACCAACTCACAAGAGCTCGCGTCAATGTCACGTGGCACATCAAGAGGGGCCCTTACAAGGACTTCTGCCCCCCTTCTTTAGCGAACAACACCCCACAAAACGCCAAAGCGAAAACGATGTTTTCCTCTTTCCTCAAGTGCATCGCTGGCCCCGGCTCCATATCCCTTGGCCCAGCCAGAAGATCAGCACCTAGACGTCCCAACAGGGAATATCAAGCGCTCTCTTGGTGCTCAATCGCTTTTGGCACCCTGAAAAGAAAAAGGCTTCTCACTAGAAAGTAGCCTGAAATGGGTAGGCCTCCTTCTGTCTGTTGGTTGTTGTTTGCTTGTTGGCTTCCACGTAAAAAGCCACACACACACACACACACCAAAAAAAAAAAACGACACCTCCCAAGGCACGGCTGAGAAGGTCACAGCGCCCTGGAAAAGCACGATGCCAGCCTCGCGACTGCGCCGCTCACGTCTCGCTGTGTTGTATGACGGCCTCCTCTTTCTCGGACCCAAGAAACCGAAGAAGCATAGGTTGTTTTTGACGGCGTGCCGTTGGGTTTTCGCCCAACCAAACAAAACAAAAAAACACGTTCCAAACACTTTCCGCCGGTCAGACGTCTTCGCCGCTCTCCTGTTTGTCTTCCCTTTCTTTCGCGGCGGCCAAAAAGAACGAAAAACGAAATATGGGGGGGGGGGGGGGGGAAAAAACACGGAAGAAAGCAAACACAAAAGAAGTTGGTTTTCTCCGCGTCCTTCCTCGCGCCGGGCCGGCGTAGATCAGGGCCTCGGTGCTGAGCACCGAGCAGACGGAGGAGAGGACCCCGGCGGTGACCACCTCCATTGAGGCCGCCAGGCCCGCCACCTCAAGCGAGAAGGCGGGCTTCCAAGAAGTCAGAGGTCAGCGCCGGAGAAGAAAAAAAATCGCCCGGAGGTGGGAGGATGTGGTGTTCTTCTTTTGTGGTTGTGTTGTTTGTTTTGTTGTTGCCTTTTTTGTTTTGTTTGTTGTGTTAGCTTTTCTTTTTGTGTGTTGCGTGCTTTGTTTTGTGTTTTGCTTGTTTTGTTTTGTTGCTTGTTTGTTTTGTTGATAAATGTATATATATATATATATGTTTGGGGGGCAGCCAAAAAGAAAGGGGAACACAGGAAAGAAGAAAAGTGGGCTGGATCAGGGAAGCAGGAAGGGGTGCAAAGGGTGGACCTCTTCGTTTCGGCCGACCGTCTATCGAAACCCACAAGGCAAATGGAGTTGAAAAACAGGCTCTTGGGCTTGGAAAAACAAGCACCGGTCCAAGCGAGGAAAACCACAAAGCTCGGAAAAGGAAAACCTGGCCGGACAGACCCTGTCCAACACACCTTTTTGCAAACAAGGCACCATTCAATGCAACACCTGCCCGGCTGCTTTTGTTTCCTAGGTTCGGCGCGGCCCCTTTTTTTCCTAGGTTTGGCGGGGCGGGGCTTGGGTTTCTTTCGGGTGGGTTTGTGGTTGGTTTAGGTTGGCCAGGTTTAGGGTTGGTTTAGTGCTCGTTTGGGCGTAGGCTTAGAGATGGTTTCGGGTAGGTCAGGGTAGCTTTAGGCTGGTTTAGGCATGATGTAGTGCTGGTGTAGAATGGATTTAGGGTTGGTTGGCTTCCGGTCTTTTAGGCTTTGCATAGGGTTTGCTTGGGGTTTGTTGATTTTGTCGTTTAGGGATTGGCTGGTTTAGGGCTGGTTCAGGGTGGATTAAAGGTTGATTTAGAGTTGGTTTAGGGTTGGTTGTTGGTTTAGCGGTGGTTTAGGGTCGGTTGAGGCTTGGTTTCGGGTGGGTTTAAGGTTGGTATAGGGATTGTTCCGTGCGCTGGTTCAGGCTGGGTTTAGTGCTGGCTTATGGTTGGTTTAGAGCTGCTGTAGGTTCCGGCTGTTTAATGGTGGTTGAAGGTAGGTGTAGGGCTGGTTAGAGTTGGTTGAGGGATGTTTTCATGGTGGTTTAAGGTGGGTTTAGGGTTCGTATCGGGTGGCTTCGAGCTTGTTTCAGGATCATGTTTGGCGGTTTAGGGTGCTGGTTTAGGGTGGGTTGCAAGAAGACTCACCAACCGACCGACCGACCGACCGACCGACCGACCGACTGACCGACGACCGAGCCTTCTCTAGAGGCTGCATGTAGAGCGTCGGCAGCGACATCACGGGCATCGCGATGAGACTCACATGGATTGCCGTAGGCACCAAATATCCCCAAAGGCTCCTGACGAAACATCCATTGCGTGCACAGCCTTTGGATTCTGCATGGATTCTGTAGCATGGACCGCCGTAAACTGTTCACCCTGCCTCACACTTAGCCCGGCAGCAACAAAGTCCAGCAGCACTGCGGGCAGCGTGCAAAGCATAGCGCATCGGGCGACTTCCATCACCTTCGCTCGAAGTTTCTGCCAGAAAGCTGTTCTGATTCGGATCTGGCATTCAAGGTTTCAGCTTGAATTGGTCTGAGCCCGGTGAGGTAAGATGGGAAACTTGAGGCAACTCCCCAACTGGAAGTTTCCTGTACCCTCAAAGGCAAAGATTAGCAAAGAAAGCAGCGATTGCTTGCTCAGGTGCTGAGCCGTCCAGAAAGTAGCTCTGCACCTGAGTCACCACATACATGAAGGCCATGACCCCAGCGATCACCACGCAGGTGGCGGGCAGACCCTTGCCATGCCCCTCCTCCAACCTGGGTTCTGACGGTCAAGCTGCAAAAGCCGTGCTTCACTTTTTGCGTGTGTGCCTGGCTGTTTTTTTGAACATAAAAAATGAAAAGTGAAACAAAAGAAAAGGTAGTCATTGTTCAGAAGCTCGTACCAAAGAGCAAGCAAGCAACACGTAGCTCACGTTGGCCAGGAAGCTGTGATAACAGGAATAACAAAGCCTCGACGGAATGGCAAGCCAGACACATGCACAGGCACGTTGAGCAATCCACACGGTACTGCGGAAGTCTACCCCCAAACCACGTAAAGAAGATATCATTCGCGCATCTGTGGTTGCTTTAAGGAAAAAATGATTGGTTTCCTGGAGGTCTCCGTTCGAGGAGCCCGGCGGCAATGATGAGGCAGTTCTGGCGCCAATCCGCAGTGACGACTGCCAAGTCCTCGAGGAAGACTCCGCTCTGCGCTGGAGCGCTTTCAGGCAAAATGACGTACGCAAGGTTCAGCAGGCTACCTGGAAAAAACGAGCGGGGAGCGAGGCGTTTTTCAGGGTACCAGGCTATGACGGGAACATCGGAACTTGCCAAGATCAGTCAGGCTTCCCCAAGAAAGCGCCAACAACAGGAACGCGACTCTCCAGCTAGAAAAGATTGCAAGCATGCCCCCGAGCAAAGGCGAAGCCATGTTGAAAAAGATCGTCGCGATCCAAAGCGCCGCATACACTCGGAAGCGCTCGTCCGCATCATCGCACCAGTCCTCTGCTGAAGATCTCAGAAGTCTCAGTCCCACAAAGCCCACTCGAATACAAGTGACCATAGAGAGAACTACCTCAACTATATAGTCAAGAAATTGCGAGGCTCTCTGATGATCGCAAAACACAGGCACTCCACGGCTTCACTCAGCCCCTGCAGAGCCCGCGCTGTAAGGCACCAGATGATGTCTGAGGTCAGCATGCCTGTGACTCAACTCGGAGGACCGGTCCAAACTTTCCCAAAGACTTTGCTCGCGGCTGTTGCGAAGCACTGAGGCGAGCGCCCTAAAAATGAACGAACCGTCCCTCTGCTTGGTTTCATCTTGGTTCGAGTTATGTCAGCGTCCCAAAAAAAGAGCCTCCGCTCGTTTTGATCCGTCCACCTCCCCTCCTTTTCGGGGCCGTCATCGCCCAGGTGCAGGCCACCGAAGTCAGGAAAGCCAGGGACAGGCAGGCCAGCACACAGGGCCGGCGCCCCACGCGATCGGAGAGCGGCGCGATGACGAAGCACCCAACCGCCTTCCTGGCGCAAGCTACACTCTGTGTGCAAGCACTCTCTGGCACAGAACAACTCAACAAAACGGCGGCCCGTGGCTAGAGAGAGAGAGAGAGACTGGTGAGACAAACACGCAAAGATGGAGACGCGCAGCAAAAACGCACACAGAGAGATGTGCAAAGGAACAACACGCGCGCATATCAAGAAAGCCAGCATAGCATTTACACAAGGCCGAGCTGCATGAGGAGGTTCACCTGCACAGTGCCGCTCATCAGTGACTGGTCGCCACCCAAATCAAGTTCCATCTGTGGCAGGCTCGGCACATAAATCTCGGTGCTGCAATACACCATGCCAACCATCATCACCAGAAGAGGAAAAACACCTCTGGGCAGAGTGTGATTGACTTGCCTGGGCTGCTTCTGTGGCAAGCCCAGCGAGAGCAGCAAAGCGACAGTGATCCCCAGTGCAGCCAGAACTATACAGACAATGACCTTGCTGATCTGATTACCCATTTTCAAGGCAAATGAGGAGGCTGCTTTCTTTGCTGGTGATTGCTCTCCAAAGCCTAACCTGTCAAATAGGACTGCAGGGTTTGCAAAATGCCTTGTCAGACCTTCATACTGCGCGAACCACGCAGCCGTTGGCAAAGTGGAGTTTATTTGCTCAAGGTCCACATATACTTGAAGTATCGAAACCGCCGCGTCGTACACATGCATATCAGTGTATGCACTCTCTTCTGCCACAGCTTGCAGCAAAATCAGGCAGAACGACCTCAAAGCCATCTCCCATCATGCGCTGAGCATGGGCCAGCATGGAGGTTCGGTTTGGCCTTGAGCCAAAGTAGCCAGACCTGCGCAAATCAACTCCAGCCCAACTCCTCGGGCCTAACTGGCCGACGATTCATAGGACTGCAGGGTTTGCAAAATGCCTTGTGTTTGCTCAAGGTTCACATATAATTAAAGTATCGAAACCGCCGTGTCGTCCACATTCATATGAGTGCATAACACTCTCTTCCACAGCCTCTTCAAGGCCACACCCCATGTACTAAGCATGGACCATGGAGGTGCAGTTTGGCCTTGAGCCCAAGTAGCCAGAAACTCCAGCCCAAACTCATCTGGTCCAAAGTCCCTAACAACCTACCGTCCGTGGTGCCCTTCCGTCCACTCGCTGTAGAAGGCATGGTTGGTTGTGTGGGGCTATTGCCAGGGAACAGCGACTCGCTTCCTTGCGTACAAGCGCCGTGCCCAAAATCAATTAGCGCATCCCGTTAGCGCGACAGAGCGCGCGCAAACCGAGTGGGACGCACCGCCCGCGCAGCCGCGCAGCCGCTCTTCGCTCTGCGCCGCGGAGATCGCAGCGGATCTGCGGGTTGGAGTCCTGCGCCGAGACGACCAGCGCCCTCGCAGCTGCGCTGCTGGCCTTCTACACCTCGGCGCAAGTGGACGCACTGTTGACCGACTACCGGACAGCAAGCGCGCAGGACACACGCGGCCATTGCGGGCGCGCTGCTGGCCTACCGGACGGGCCCGGACCAGGACGTGTTCACGAGCAACCAGATCACCTCCGCTGGTGGCGTACCGCCGGCTGCCGACCAGGACACAACGGCCTCGAGCATCGCAGCCGCCCTGCTCAGCTACTACACCATCGCGCAGGTGGACGGCCTCCTAGCCGGCAAGCTGGGGGTCCGGAGGCAGCTTTGGCCCTGGAGATAGCCGTGCGCTTCCCGGACGATGGCGGGGCCGACCTGGGCCCCACGGACGTCTCGCTGGCAAATTGGACGGTTCGTCCCGCGTGGCCCTGGCGACTCACACCGTGGCAGTGGTGAGCAGGACGGTTACACCCGACCCTGGCAGTGAACCGTGGCAGTGGTGAGCAGGACGGTTACACCCGACCCTGGCAGTGAACCCCTGGAACATCGTGCGCACCTACAGCCTGACACCCGGCCGGGAGCTCCTCTTTGCCTGCCATCATCGCCTCCGCACGGCCTCCAACTTTGTGGCGCACATGTCCGAGGCCGACAACGTTTACGACCCCCTGTACGGCAGCTTCGTGGATGATCAGAGCAGGCAGGCGCAGGCCCCCGGGCAGCGCTGGGGAAGTCGGCTGTGGAGGGGCCGAACGCAGGCCGACCTCATCGACTTCAGCCAGAACACCCGGGGGACGGCCTGGTGATCATGGACGTCGTGGAGCCTCTACAGAACAAGAACGCCAAAGCGGTCGGCCGGGCCACCAAGCGGGCGGTGCGGGAGCTGGCGGACGACGAGAACTTCGCGGTCACGACGGACCTGGGCTGCCCGATGGGCGGTGCGCCGCACCAAGCGGCCGGAGGCCCGCAACGCCATGGTGGTGGACCGGGGCATCCGGACCCTCAAGAAGGACCTGGCTACCAGGGTGGCCCGCAGAGGCGGCCAGTAGAGCGACCACTTCAAGCAGGCCGCGTCGGCCTGCAACGCGCGCCCCCACCAAAAAGGACGTCGAGAAACAGCCGGCCACCGAGTTCAGGACGCTGCAAGACAACGCCGACAGGTTCCAGCACAACAAGGACTTGACGAACCGGCGCATGAAGCCATAGAGGACGCGGGGGCGTTTCGGGCGCCCACCAACGCGGCGAGGAGCTTCAACCTCCAGTACGGCAACGTGCAGCAGCTGCGGGCCGTGGACTCCATGACCGTCCGGAGCACCGAGGGCGGGAGACCCTGCTGAAGCTCGCTGCCGGCGCCCCAGGGCAGCGGCAACGCGGCGGCGCGCTGACGAGGCGGGGCAGACCGGCTGCGGCTGGACGACTTCCTGGGGCCCAGGCGGCCAGAAGCGATTCGGGCCGCTGACCTTCTTGACAGACGGAAGCAACATGCCTAGCTTGTGGAGAGAAGCCCAAACACGACTTTGCGAATCTCGACCTTAGAGCGATCCCTGGACCCCGCCCAAAACGGCCATTCAGTTTGTGGGTGCAAGCCTGACACCCATGGAACATGTGAAGCCTCTTGTGACCTTAAGTCCGCCCTGCTCCCACCTGCGAGCGCGATTTTCCCTCGGTGTCCTGAATCCGGCCTGCGAGGAAATGTGTTTTTTTCACCCCTTTTTTGGGGGGGCGACAGTTTGAAGACTCCAAGACTCCAGACTGCTTCACGCGTTGTGCCGTCAAACCACAACACTTTTTTGGTGCTTGCTGAAAAAAGCCGGCCTGCTTGTGCGGCAGGTGCTCAAGGCCGAATTGGAAGAGTTGCGGCAGCAGCGGGCCCACTTGCGACAGCAAATCAAGGTGAACCGTGCGCAAACCAAGGACGCCAACCGACGAAAGAAGAAGTTGTTGAAAGCTGCGCGGCAGCTGAATGTGGAGGACCTGAAAAGCTTGGTTGCGCTAAAAGCAGCGGACTGAAACAATTTTTTGTGTCGCCCTACAGTCGCTCCAAAGGAGCTGTCCGATGTTGCCTTGGAAATGCTGTAGGCGTTGCTCGCACTACAACCCTTGTGGTGGTGACGTAGCTGTCAGCAGCGTCAGCATCGTCGCTCTCGGAGCCGTGGAAACATGGTCGCTCATTTTGGGCATGCCAACGGGGTTGGACGGTCACTGAATTGAAGGTTTCCCTTACATGTTGATTAGGTTTCAGACATTTTCTTGGTCTATCCATTTTTCTGGGAAACGAAAAAGCGGTGTTTTACATATCTTCGCGATAACCGTCTACCCATTTGTCCAGGTAACGCACACAGACACATCTGTCATGTTGAACACGCCTGCATGTTGAGACACTCTTGCATATCGTTTCTTTTGCTTGCCGGATTTGGTTAACCGCTGCCGTGGAAACATGGTCGCTCATTTTGGGCATGCCAACGGGGTTGGACGGTCACTGAATTGAAGGTTTCCCTTACATGTTGATTTGGTTTCAGACATTTTCTTGGTCTATCCATTGTTCTGGGAAACGAAAAAGAGGTGTTTTACATATCTTCGCGAAAACCGTCTACCCATTTGTCCAGGTAACGCACACAGACACATCTGTCATGTTGAACACGCCTGCGTGTTGAGACACTCTTGGATATCGTTTCTTTTGCTTGCCGGATTTGGTTAACCACTGATTTCTTTTTCGATATGGACCGCGCAGTGATTAACCGATGGGCCCGCATTTAATAAGGAACTTTCAGAGTTTGTTGACAAATTTGATTCGTTTTTGACAGGATTTTGTCTGTTTCTGGTGTTTTTGAGCACATATTTTTGCGAAGCAGGTGTTAGAGAGTGGTTGTCAGACATGGTGCTGACCAACGCAATGCGCCAAACAGACCCCAAGGAATTTTGAGAGTTTGTTGACAAATTTCATTTTTGGCGTTTTTGAGCACAGATTTTAGGAAGCAAGTGTCAGAGAGAGTGGTTGTCAGACATAGTGCTTGTTGAACAAGCCCCATGTCTCTGACAACCACTGGGCCCGCAGAGCCCCACAAACATTGACCAACGCAATGCGCCAAACAGACCCCAAACAATTTTGAGAGTTTGTTGGCCAATTTGATTTTTGGCGTTTTTGAGCACAGATTGCACGAAGCAAGTGTCAGAGTGGTTGTCAGACATGGTGCTTGTTGATTTTTTTGGCATTTATGCCCACAGATTTTACGAAGCAAGTGTCAGAGAGTGGTTGTCAGACATGGTGCTTGTTGAACAAGCCCCAGGTCTCTGACAACCACTGGGCCAACAGAGCGAACACCACAGACACCAGATAACTGGGAACCGGCTGCCTGGCAACAATCTTTGAGATGTGGGGCGAGTGGAACTGTTCGAAAGCAGTTGGTCCCAGTGTTTTTTGTTGGGGTCTGTGGGCCCATTGGCAGTCACAAATGTTGTGTGAGCCCCTCGGTCACCAAAGGGTCTCACGAAACATTGTGTCTCAGCGACTGGCTGTTTTTAGGGGTTTCTTGCTTTGTTGTTTGTGTCACAGACCCCCACAGACACCAGATAGCTGGGAACCGGCTGCCTGGCAACAAGCTTTGAGATGTGGGCAAGTGGAACTGTTCGAAAGCAGTTGGTCCCAGTATTTTTTGTTGGGGTCTGTGGGCCCATTGGCAGTCACAAATGTTGTGTGAGCCCCTCGGTCACCAAAGGGTCTCACGAAACATTGTGTCTCAGCGACTGGCTGTTTTTAGGGGTTTCTTGCTTTGTTGTTTGTGTCACAGACCCCCACAGACACCAGATAGCTGGGAACCGGCTGCCTGGCAACAAGCTTTGAGATGTGGGCAAGTGGAACTGTTCGAAAGCAGTTGGTCCCAGTATTTTTTGTTGGGGTCTGTGGGCCCATTGGCAGTCACAAATGTTGTGTGAGCCCCTCGGTCACCAACGAAACATTGTGTCTCATTAGGGGTCTCTTGGCTCCGTTGTTTGTGTCACAGACCCCCACAGACACCAGATAGCTGGCAACAATCTTTGAGATGTCGGGGGAGTGGAATTGCTCGAAAGCAGTTGGTCCCAATGTTTTTTGCTGGGGTCTGTGGGCCCATTGGCAGTCACAAATGTTGTGTGAGCCCCTCGGTCACCAAAGAGTCTCACGAAACATTGTGTCTCAGTAGGGGTCTCTTGGCTCCGTTGTTTGTGTCACAGACCCCCACAGACACCAGATAGCTGGCAACAATCTTTGAGATGTGGGGGGAGTGGAACTGTTCGAAAGCAGTTGGTCCCAGTGTTTTTTGTTGGGGTCTGTGGGCCCATTGGCAGTCACAATTGTTGTGTGAGCCCCTCGGTCCCCGCAGAGTCTCACGAAACATTGTGTCTCAGAAGGGGTCTCTTGGCTTCCGTTTTGGGTCACAGACCCCCACAGACACCAGATAGCTGGCAACAATCTTTGAGATGTGGGGGGAGTGGAACTGTTCGAAAGCAG